CGCTCAGAGAGGAGCCTAAGTTGTCAGATCACGCTCTTCACAGGCTTCTTCAAAATGCCCCGTTGCACCAACATGTGGCCACAGATACTGTCAAAAGCTCTAGAGGGGGGTTTCACGGCTCTTGCTGTGAGGTGGGCCGGTTCAGCAGCGACTTGTCGAACAGAGGCAGGGCTGCGGTCCCAGTGTCCACAAGAGACCCGATGCCTGGCTTGCCGTGATGGGTTTTAAGGGAATCTTACTTGTGCTTTAACCTAGCTTAGATTAAAATCTGGACAAATCCTGAAGATCTGGAGCAATGCCAAGGGTCCAACTTCAGCATTGAATTTTGCAAGCTCAAATATCCGACACAGATTCAAGCCGCTGGCTCCGTCGACGAAGTTAGTCACCGAGTTCACCAGAGCCAAAGCGTTGCCGATGGCTGCGGGAAGCCCGTCGATAAGGTTTGGGAATCCAGCAACAGGTGGAACAAAAGTCGCTGGTATGTCCTCCAAAATGAGTTGTAGAGCATCTCTTACAACCACTGCAGTCAAACGGTGCCAGTTGGCATGCGGCATGCGCCAGCATTCCGTCGAGTTCACGAGATCAAACCACGGGCTGAAGTAATTCTCTTCAGTCAATATCGATTCCTGCTGCTGGGTGCTTGCCAAACAAGACCATTAAAGTTAAGAAAAGGGGTCTAACCTCTGATCTCAGTCTCAGTTCAACCATGGTCCTCCCACAAAGCAGCCTGCACATAGCCTTCAAGAATTCCGAGCAGCACAGCCCAACCTTAAACAGGATCAGCAAGGAGAAAAGCGACTGCTAACAGCTGCTAACAGCTTCGGGCACTACATGAGCTATAGTCGTATCCCCCTTAATAACCCCTATAGTAGTCTCTTATATAATCCCTATATAACCCCCCTTTAAGGAGTAGTTTAGACTATAGCTCACATGCAAGTGATCCCATCTGCTATTTTTAGGTCTTTCATCCCAGATTCTGCATGCGCCCTAATCACTGCCGCTAATGTTGCATCCCGATTAGTGTGGAAAGCATTAATTGTGCGAAGTTTCGCAGAAATTGCTCAGCACCGCCTGATGTGTTTGGGGGGCCCTCAATTGTGCGAGGTTACATGGCCAAAAAATGTGAATAAGTCAATAGAAAACATGACTTCATTTTGCTTTCAAAAGCATGGCAGGCAGCAAGCTGAACCCTTTGTGGAACTTTTCTGAATGCCTCCCAAAGTCCTTCTGATCCAGTACCGAACCGATCCTGATCCCTCCTATTGAATTTAATTTCAACCCAGAATCCAGATTCGTTTTGGGGGTACCCCCCTTTATTAATGAGGGACACCATTTTTATTTGGGGGGAGGAGCCTACACTAATCAGGGCCCCACATTATCCTATGACCAACCAATGCTACAATCGTGCACGCTCCCATGTGCACGAGTGTTTTTCTCAACATTGCCAAGCAATTATTATTCGTATTCTGCTGATGCTGCTGCTGCTGTTGGTTTTGCTGCTGCTGCTGCCGCCGTAGTTCCCGTCGTCGTCATCATCGTCGTCCTCGTCCTCGTCCTCGTCGTGATCGTTCCCGTCCTGGTCCGCTCATCGTGGTCGTGGTCGTCCTCCTCCTGCTCCTCGTCGTCGTCGTTGTCGTCGTGTCCTTGAAGTGCTGCTGGTGCTGCTGGTGCTGCTGGTGCTGCTGCTGCTGCTGGTGCTGCTCTGCTTGAGGTTGTTGCTGTTGATGCTGCTGTCGCTGCTGATTATGGCGTTGCTCCTGCTCTTGCTCTGGCTGCTGGCTTTATCAATGTTATTGTTCTTATTGATGAGGTATGCAAGATGTGTTGTTTCCAAGCTTCCGAGCTCTCCAAGTTTGGGATTGTTTAAGGCTTCGGGCTCAGGGTTCTTCCAGTCCAACTAAGTTCCCAACCCTGAGCAACGGTTGGAGGCCGTTTCCATGTTGTGGACGCGATGGCGTCCACAAATGGCGAACTAAGTTCGCAAAGAATCTCTCTGCCAACCTCTCCTGAGTTGTTGAAGGAACCAGGAACAACTCATGAGGCACTCTTCAGAAAAAGGTATGTGGGGAAAGCCGCAGCTGCAGAGGGATTATCGTAGCCAGGTAAGTTAGACTGTCCCAGGCTCTTCCATCAGACTCTCTCACCACGGCATCGGCCAGAAAAATGCAAAGCTCCCGATAAAAGAACCGTCCAAGCCCTGGGCCAACTGTGTCGGAGAGGAGGTTGTACATCAAGATGAGGATGACCGAAGAGACGCTTATTTCAAAATCCGGCACACTTTCAATCAGGGCTTGGGCAGAAGCCCATTGAGCTGCCGGGCCTGACCAGATGCTATGAAGTTGCCTCACAAGATCGCGTGCATCGCCAAAAGGTTCGTCTGGGGTGATTCCCAAAACAACTGCAACACCCGGCTCATTGAGGTCCACTGCGAGGCTCCGAACATAGCCCTGAAACAATTGGAAGGCTAAGACTCGTATTGCCAAAGGGTCAAAGACATTTGTGTCAAATGGATTTCGGATGGGATTGCTATGCATGGAAAAGGAGGCGAATGCCAGCATCACAGGAGCTGCGATGGCTTCAGATCTCCAAGGCCATGTGCCACCAAAATCACTCACCGCATTGTTGCACGCAATCAAAGCGATCTCATAGTAGGCATAGTTTGACAGCGCATTGCATGGTTGCTGGATAAGAGACGCATCAGGGTAGCTGCTCATGGGCGCTGTTCTATAGGAGGCAGTTCGAAGAACCGTATCCGCAGCAAGCGTAGGGTTCAACTCCAGCCACTGGCGACGGATCCAGTTGTTGGGATCTACACTCTGGCCCAGCTTTTGGAACATGCCCTTCGCGGCTTCCCAAAGGTTGGCTTGTCCGACCCATTCCGTACCATTGACGGCGCTGTTGCTCACGGATTCCAAGCATTGTTGAACCTCCTCTCGCAACACCCAGGTGAGGTCGTCCTGCGTATCGTACGCGAAGAACTTGAATAGCGGATCTTGCGCGAGTTGGAAGTCAGCAGGTGAAGGCAATCCACCCACGGATCCACAAAACTCTGTGTCAAGCGGTGCAAACTTTGCCGCAAGCCGCAGCTGCGCAATTTGCACCGGGGACAGGCTGGAGGCGGCAACCCCCCAGGCCTGGCTCTGCAAGAGTGCAACCACCCAAAGCCGCATCAGCGCAGCTTCATGGAATTTACCTAGACTTGACTGCACCTAGGGCCAAAACCTGCTGAAACCGGCTGGGCCATGTACGAATCCACACAACATGTTGGCTACCGGGCTTTCTTCAGGCAGTCCGGCTGTGCGCTCCCCACAACGCACTGTCTAAACCGGCCACAGAACCCGACTAAAAATCATGATTTTTGGTTGCTATTACGGTTATACTAAACACAAAGTACGCATCATTTCGGAGGCCTCAACAGCTGTTGAGCTAGCTGGGATTGCTTGCGCACCTTGGCGGCGTATCACAGCGCCCGCACGGGCATCACTGCGAAGCCTGTCAGTCTGGAACAAAATTATGAGCTATAGTCTCAACTCCTAGCATCACCCTTAGTAACCCCTTTTATGCTCCCCTGTATAACCCCTTGTATATGACCACGTTAGACGAGTTTAGACTACAGCACAAAATGTCTTTCACAACCGCCGTGTGTGTAACCAATCTGGTTGGCCGGGCCGTTTATGGTTTTGCAGAGGTTGCCAGAGAACGCTACTACCGCGCAATACGTCAGCGAAACACCGGGAAAAGGAGCCATCATGTTTGCAAAGCTCTCCAAACTTCTCTTGCCTGGCAGGGTCTCCATGAAGTTTGGTAGCCAGCTCGCTGCCTAACCAGGCGCTAAACATGGTTTAGAAGATTCAGGGATTTAGAGGTCACAGCGCTTGTCTGTTTGGTTAACAGGTAGAGTATTCTTAGGGGATAACTTGCCTCATCCTATGGCTTACAGAAGTTGTCAGTATACATCCCAAGTCCTCCTGACCATCCAAGTACAAAGTTGCGGGTTCAACGTTTACGGCTGCGACTGTTCATGGCCTGCAGTTGCCGAATCTGCTTTCGAGTCGCAGGCCTCACACTGCAGCCCTCCTTACAAACAACGCATCCATCTGGCAGGTCTAAATTGTGTTCTCAACATCGTGGATCCGGCTGTAGCCGTTCGCATGATAAGGACAAGAGAATTTGTTTTTTTTCTTAGGGGGTCCGAGTTTTGAGAAAGTCCCATATCCAGTGCTGGCAACTTCATGATTTGGAGAGAGCGGCTCACGTCTGACCAGCCTACGCCAGAAACACTGCACATGTACGCAGCTAGCAGCTAGCAATCTGATCGTAAGTGCCAGCCACCAAAAGCCCTAGAATCCTTTCATACTTGAAGTTCGCGGGACGAAGTAACTACTTACAACTTGGTTTATTATCCTGTGTATGACTCCCCTGTAACTGAACTAAAAAGGTAGCCCAAGTTACAAGTACGGGTATACTCCCATGTTACGAATATTCAAAGTGTAATTAGGGACCTGTAAGCATGGCAGCCAATAACCTTGAACAACGATAATGTTAAAATGTCTCCATATCAAGCAGGTCTGGTACAACTACCGCCTGGACTCTAAACAGAATCCAAGCTAGCCCGCATTTACACGCTCCCCTAATTACGGGGGATCTAGAAGAAGTTGCGGCCAAACTGCCGCCTGGTTTTGTGGGCTACTTTTGAATGCAGCCCTGCCGCCTGCGGACGATCTGATCTGCAACATGAGAAACTGGATCATAACTCACTACCAACATTGCTTCTGATGCAAGTACCCATCACTGTTGTGCAGCATTTATGAGAAATCTAGTCTGATGTCGGGCTCTATCAGCTTGCCGAGAAACCCTCTCGACAACTGGTCAAGTAAGATCCGCACGCTTGGCAGTCGAAAGCTGATCGGTGCATTCCAACCTTAGGGTTTGAGGCTTACAGTATATCATTTAGATTTTGTCGGGTTTACCAAAAGCATGCGTGCACATTTGTTACGCCTCCTCCTCTTGAAAGTGCTGTGCTTCTGCTAGTCATACTAGGACTGGTGTTCTTGCTGTTCTCACGATCGGCCAATTCCTCTTGTTATTCTGCAAGCTTTAGTTCTTGCGGGGCGCCGGCCGCTGCAAACGGCGAAGCCTCATGGCCGGATTGAGGGAGCAGGGTTCAAAAGCCAGCTTTGTCCTGAGATCTCACGGAGAGGGCATCCACCAATTGCCGTGTTCAGCAGCATTGGCTTAATTCATGCATGTATGGGATCGTACGGAGGCTTGAAGTCGCTGAGGTCCTGGCGGTGACTGTTCTTGCGAAGGCGCCCTTCGCGGATCCAAACCTTATTGGGCACTGGCAGGGGGAGGGGATGAAACAACTGGCTTCACAAATGACGCCGAACTGCACGATGGTCCAGGGACCAAACCCCCTTGCTTGAGATTTGTCTTCAGGAGCGTGCTGACTGCTGCCCTGCTGTTACGAAGCAGGGCATACCCACCCCACAAGACCCAAGCCCTTGAGTTTCCAATGCGAGGATATTATGAAGGGGACAATGGGGAACTACATATTGGGTATATAAGGCTCATGTAAGGTCCCTACATGGTAACTCTAATCCTGTAGTTGCCTTAGAAATGGTGATTATCCCTCATCTAATCCCATATACAACCTGTACGCTCTAAATCCTCAAGCGATCCCAACGTATGAGCCATTTTCTAAACTCCTAATATCCCCCTTAACAACCCCCATACTAGTCCCCCTATATAATACCCTAGATAACCCTGCTTTAAGGAGTTAGAGTATATAGCTCGTATGGATGGAGGATGCCTTCTCAAAGTGACCGCTTCATGGCGCTCCGCAAAGGGCCTGAGCCGCCGCAGCCGCACCGCCAAAGGAGAGATGGGTTACAGAGGGATTATGTCCCTACACCATCCATGTAGCCTCTATAAACCCAAAATACCCACAATTAGGGTCCATATACCCCTATTTAAGGGTACAAGGAGGGTCCTGGTAGGGCTTATAAAAAGGGATAATGGAAAGAACATGGGAACTACCATTTAGGGTTTATGGGTTTAGGGGATATAGGGCTTTTATAGGGTATATAGGGGAGTGGAGAGTCAATTGGGTAAGACAATCAAACAGAGATGGAAGCTGGTATGACATGTTTGTGGAGGCCTCAAAAAAAGGAATTTGGATCTTTCAATCTGCAGGGTGTCACATCATTCAATCAAGCCGTTCCATCTACCAATATTGGGATTGGATGAAACCCGGGTCGGGAAGCGTTCCCTTCAGGAACATGAAAATGCTAGTCTGATACAGTTTGCCCTGAGTCATAGGCCACGCGACCAGGTGGCTCTTTTTTGGAAGATTCAGCTGCAGGACTGATGCCAGATTCGCTCAATTCCACGAACAGCTAGTGCACCACACGCGGGGCATGTCCATAATCACGTGTCTACCCTTGCTTGCAAGCAGCTCAGAATACATGCCAGTACAGTACCTTGCTAGTCTGTGGCAGACATCATCGGGATGGAAGTTTCCTATGACACAGTTGCAGAGGAACAGTCCTTGTAAGTGAAACTGTCGACCTTCTCCATCTGAGCAAGAGGCCTCTGGCGCCCTAAACCCTTTTTTCCCCATTGTAGAGGTTTGCACTTTCTTTTCCATTAGCCTAATATAACCCCAAAATAACCTCTATAAACCCCAATACAACCCCATATTTCTGCAGTCTGCGCTCCGCATCTGAGAAGTGGACTCAACGCCGATTATCCAAACCCGGTTCTCAGTGTCGGAGGGACCCCCTACTTGGGGGAACCCCAACCACCATGTCATGGCTATATAGCCCTATATACAGTAGCTTCGGTGTTCTTTTCCATTTGATGATCCATGATTGGGAAACCAAATCCCCACGAAGCTACCCAAGCCAGGATACTCTAAACCCTAAACCCTAAACCCTAAAGCCAGGATTCTGTGAAGGGGGCATCTGCCAGAGCTCGGGGAGCTCATAAGTTGCGCACATTCGAGGACGCACATGACGTGCTGCATCTCAAAAGCAGCTACAAGTGAATCATACGCTGATGTTAGGGTTTAGGGTTCAGGGTTTAGGGTTTAGGGTTATAACAAGTTCGCTACTTTCATGACTAGAATGTGTAGCACTACAGATATTCCGATTACCATCCACTTACCGCGTGTGTGATTACAGCCGCCATATTGAAGGCCCATAACTGGAGAAGTGCACTGTAGAGGTGCACATGGGTTTGAACCCTCAAGCAACGCCCCGGCTTGAACCCTCAGGCACACCCCCAAACTCTTAATCTACAAGCCCGAACCCTCGAGCTAACACCCAATATCATAAATCCGAAGCCACAATCCGTTACCATAAGTCATAAGGCATGAACGTTAAACTCTAGATCCTGACCCCTGAACCCTACAGAACCTACCGTCAGCACTGGACCTTCAGCCCTAAGCAACCTTAAGCCGTGAACCTTAGACCGTCTAGACCCGAATTACTGGGTCGCTGTTAAGGAACTTAAGTTAAGTTACCATAATGGGTATATATAGTAAATAATAGGGTTTCCCGAATGTAGTAACTTAGTTTAAGTTCCTTAACAGCAACCCAGATTATTTATGATGTCTGACCCTAAGCCGTACCCGCCTCGAACCTGTGAACCCTAAGACCCTTAACATCCCTTAACCCTTGACCCTAAACCCTGAGCAACCCAAAGCCCTGAAGCGCCTCTTGGTCACAGTTGGATACTTCAGGGCAAGTAAGAAGCTGCGTGCCCCGCAGTGAAGGACTCTGGCCTGCCATGATGCAGAAGTATAGGGCTTAGGGTTTAGGGGCCGCTTTAAAGGCGATGTAGGGATTATATGGGGGTGTACAGGGACGTGTAGGGGCTCGGGGTTTAGGTTCTTTTTTTGTTTAGCTCTTTTTTCGAATTCCGATGTACAGCTCAAAGGCTCAGTTCGCGCAGGAGAGTCCTAGCATCTTTGGGCAAGCCAGGACAACTCATGCAGGGCTTCGGGCACATGATTTCATGTCAAGCGCTTACGGTTTTGGGTTCAGGGCTTGGCTTACCCAGACCCCTCCCATGTGGTGCCTTTTTGCGTAGTAGATTGTAAATCCTTACCATAAAGCCATAAGAAATCAAAAAAAGAACTACATAAGAGCCCTTGGGTAGAGTCTGGGGTTGAAGGCTCCGCGTTTGAGGCTGAAGGCTTGTTATGGAGGTGTCGGGCTTGAGGTTTCAGGGTTGAAGGCTTCAGGGTTTATGTTTGACCACTTCTTGCAGTATGGCTGACATTGTATTGCGGGATACAAGGTGACGCATATGGTATGATCTCATACTTCCAGGCCCCGTTTATAGGGCTTCTTCAAGGATAGTACGCGGTTGTGCAAGAACACACGGAGTTTAGAGGGTTAAGGTTAAAGGAGCTTCACAAAATTACAGGAACCCGGCGGCTTGAAGTTCAGAATGGGACCTAATTTTGAGACCTGCTCGGCTAAGAGGCTAAACAGAAATGAACCCGAATTTGGAAAGGTTCAGAACCCTAAGCCCTAAACCCCCAAATCCTAGACCCTAAGCCCTACACCCTACAGGATTTGAGGATTTCGGTATGGATGCTCTTGGGGCTTGGGGCGATGGCTGACAAGCGAGACAAGCTTATAGGATCTACCTTCCCCCCAACGTCATGGAATGTTTTTAGGATCCCCCCAAAATCCTCATATGAGCTAGGCTATAATCTAAACTTCTAATATTCCCCTTAATAACCCTTATAGTCGTCCATTATATAAGCCCCTACAAAACCCCCCTTTAAGGAGTTTAGACTATAGGTCATATTAGTCCTTAATAAGAACCACGCTTTGGGGCCCAGGACTGTACTGTGCAAATTTGAACCTCAAGGGCCTGTGTTTAGGGTTTAGGGTACCCAATTCTTACTTGTCAGGGCCCTTCGCTAAGGCTTAGGGCTTAAGACCCATCCCAGGAGCTGATGAATCTAACCATGTTCAAAATTGGCTTCAAAACATATGGGGGTTTCCCCAAATTAGGGGTACTTGTTTGGGGGTCCCCATAATAAGGATTACAAGCTTTTATCTATATTGGGGTCCCCCTATTTTAGAATAAACTACCATATCGATCTAGGCAAGTGCGCGGGGACCCGGCATGTGGATTTATGGGCTGCAACATAGCGGCTTCCTAGAGGTGGGGTGGGGCTTGGGCTTTGCCATGCCTGAAGTGACCTCACACCCCGTACACCACCCCCACCCTCAACCCCAAACCCATGAAAGGCCACCCCCATCCTCAATCAGCTTCAGCTTGTCATAGTCAGACATGGGCCGCCGCGTTTGGCTCTAAGAGTTTCGCCAGGTCTTGCAGTTTAAGGTTTAGGGCTTAGGATTTCGGAGAGTGTCCTTGACAGTCTAATGTGGGAATTTCTCAAAGTTAAGGCATCTCTATGTGCTGTCAAAATTGTATGGAGACTTGAAAGCCTTAAGCCCTACACCTTTAAGTCTTTCGAGAAACACACCAACAAATGCCCAGAAAAAAACACAGACGACACCCCTAATGTACCCCAAATACACACCCTGTGTACCCCTTTTTCCCGCCCCAATAGACCCCTAAGGGTGAATCATGTGAATGATGAAGGAGGCTTCGGACTTCTTGCACCCTGAGCCCTAAAAACTACACTCTAATTCCGTTAAAGCCCCAATCCTAAGCCCTACACCGCATAAAAGCTAGGGATCCCAGGTTCCGGGTTTGATGTTCAGGACTTGGAGGAAAGCCCTCATGCCCATATGGGAGCTTTCTCAAAAAGAGCGTACCCTTAAGGAAAGCCAGGGTTCAGGATTTGGGGTTTAGGGTTTAGGGTGAGTTTCCCCAAGGAGGGAGTGCCTCATGGGGACCGTACGGAGCATACAGAGTTTATAAGGCTTGAAGGGGATCATGGTGGGGCCCTCTGGATTATATCAAGGGTTACATTGACAAAGACCCAAGTTGCAAAGGCAACAAGGGTTCGGACATAAGGACCTAAGGTTGTCACTGTAGATCGCCAAGGCCAAGGTTTTTTGCAAAGAAGGTTCAAGTGTGGGAAGCGATGCTAGCCTCTGAGCTCAAACGCGTTTTCGGGAGTTTCTGAAAAAGAGGGGCTTTTTAGGGGGGGTATACAGGATTTATAAGAAGATTCTAGAGGGCCCTCTTAAGGGATCATCCAGCCATCCAATGTCGTTTGCACCACTAGATCCCTGAAACAGCACCAACAGCTCTTGCTCAGGGTAGGTTGATTACCCGATTTCAGCCTGAGTTTCACGTTTCTTGCGCAACTTCATGACTGAAGAAACTGCCAGGAGGACAATGTGACCCTTGGTCTGCAAAACAACGAACATGAAAGCGACACTCTGAGAATAGTTGGTAGTTTCCCTACATAGGGGGGC